AGTAAAAAGTATTTTTTTGGGAATGTTTCTAAGGATAAGCAAGGTTTTTTGACATACATTGGATGATAACATATGAAATGAGGTCATCGAAAGGGTTTCCTTTCTAATACTCTCCTATGCAGACCATTAATATGTAAGCATCACAATCCTGTGTACCTGTGGATACCTACTTTATTAGAAAATAACCTTTTAAACAGGTCGTTTGGAATGATTTGTGTATTTTATTTATTAGTCTTGATTAGTTTTGGCAGATCTTTTAGGTATATTTGTTTTCCTATCATATTTTATCTTGAAATTAGCATTGAAATTAACTTCTTTTATTAACAATATTTCTAAACCGAAGATATGAAAAGCAAGATGGTGTGGCCCCCGGTATGGTCGCAGTCTCCTTTAGATTTATAGAAGTAGATTGACCTCGTTGTCGCAACTTGGTCTTGTTGTCAGAGCGACTTAGTAGGACACACCTTGTGCGGAGAATGTCAGCACTCACTGATGATGCCGACTACGATACCGGCGAAACCTTTGAGAATGTACCAAGTCCACTGTCTGATGCTGGGAATTATGATAGCTACTATGGAAGAGGACTTCGAACTAGGTGCGTTCTAATAAGTCGCCCTGATAACAAGACCAAGTTGCGACGAGGTTAACCAACTTCAATATTTCTGAACGTTGAACTTGCTAGCTGGAAATTGTAAAGTTTCCTGAGATTTTTCTTGCATTGTAGAAGTCAGTTATCTTTCTTTGAAAAACTTCAGCCAGTTGTCTAGAGAGGCTCATGTTTGTTCTAAATAGACCAAACAATAATTACGACTCGAAAGGTTTTAAGTTTCCAGGTATTTTTTTACTCCTGGAACTGCCTTAACATGATTAATTAAGGACTTGACGGGTCAATCTGAGTTATTATTATAGTCTTCTATCTGATTTGGCTACAATCATGTACATTCTTTCGCTTGTCCAATTTAGAAGTGTCCTTCAGGAGAACATCGACCTACTTCGTATACAACGTGAACTCCGTGACCGACAGTCCGAGGTCGCAACTATATCAGCCCGGTTGGCCGAGGCTCAGACCAGCCTCGATGTGGCCCAAACTGCTAATCGGCAACTGATTGCCGAAGTTGATCGAGCCCATCGTGAATCTAGACAACGCGAGGCCCGTATTGACCAACTGGAGGCCGAGACAGAGACAGGTAGCAATCGTCTTCGACTACGGCTTGTTGAAGTAAGTGCTATGTTGTTTTGGAGCTCAAGTATAAAAGTTGCCACTATCTCGATTAGAGAGTGAGTCTTCAATGCCATAAATGCACTGGATTATCATGAATGAATGCATAAATTCAGAATCTTATTAAATAATTATTGAGCTTAGTTCCATCTCGAGGGAAAGTGTCTGGTGAAGCGATTCAAAGGTCGATACTACCAAAATACGAAGGCGAATTCTTCTTTACCAGCTATCGATTTGCTTTACCAGAACATTCTTGTTGATGCTGTTTCCAAGGCAATCTCCTTCAAT